GTTGGACACTTAACGTGCCAAGTATGCAGCCTGTCAACGGAAGGACCATTTGGGTTCCAGAAAAATGAAGTTAAAGGACCACTTGGGTGCTTTCTGTAGTTAAAGGACGAACTAAGTTTTGAAATGAAAGTTCAGGGACCAAATTGGGTATTAAACCTTTTTAAATTAATTTTTATTATGAGATTTTAGTTTGGGAATAAATTTAAGGTTAAAAACCTAAGTTTCCTTAATTTTATTTTTAATTTTATGAAATTTTTAGTTTTTGTTTGTTCTATCCTATCTCCCTGGCATCAAATTAGTATTAGAGCTACGGCTGGCTGTGGCAGAGCAAATAAAGGCCAACAAGCAAAGTTAACTGAGATGTGATGTATGATTAAGGACTTGTCGCGATAACGATAGGAACCCATGGGAGCCTGTATCAAGATGCCAAAAGGTAACCAAAACCTGCAGATACACCAGAAGGTAGTCTGGAGGATAAGACCTTTGACTAAAGGGATGAAAACCCTTTTCATGAAACTGGAACTGCAAATCAAGCAGTAAACTAAATTTTTGATATCAACAAAATTGAAATTTGTTAAGAATGAAAAGAAAACACAAAATTACTCAAATTTTTTAGGTTAAGTACGAAAAGAGAGTACTTTATGGCATGACTTAAAGAAGAAAGTGTTCTATAGCCCAATTTAAAATGAAAGGAATGCTATCTATGGTATAAATTAAAAGGAGAAGTGCAATATGGCTCGATTTTTTTATTTTTGAAGGAAATTGCTCCATAGTATTATTTGAACATGAAAGTGCTCTATGAAACGATTTTTGAGAGGGAAAGTGCTCTATGATAACGGTTTGAAAAAGAAAAGTTCTTTATAGGACAATTTGATGAAGGGAAAATGCTTTATAACACAATTTGATAAGGGAAATGCTTTATAGCACGATTTGACGATGAAAATACTCTATAACATGATTTGACAGGAAAAATTCTCCATGTGCTTTATAGTATTGTGCACTATGGCACAAGAAAGGGGTTCTTTATGGAATTGTGCTCTTTGGCACCATGCTCTATGGCATGTAAAGAGTGATTTATAGCACTGTGCTCTATGGCACAAAAGAGGTTCTATGGAATTGTGCTCTATGGCATTGAGGGAGGTTTTCTATGGAATTGTGCTCTATGGCACTATGCTCTAGAGCATGTAAAGAGTGCTTTAAATAGCACAAAAGAAGGTTCTCTACGGAACTGTGCTCTATGGCGCTAAATGGGGTTCTCTATGAAATTGTGCTCTATAGCACTATGTTCTATAGCATGTCTCAAATTTTATAAGAGTTCATGGCTATGCACTGCTCAAAGAAGAAAAGAGTTCATGGCTATGCATGACTCAAAGTAGAAAAGAGTCAATGACCATGCATGACTCAAAGTAGAAAAGAGTTAATGACTATGCATGACTTAGGTAAAGGTAAAAGGGTCCATGATCCTGCATGGCCTATGACAAGAGTTCATGATTCTGCCCATCTTTGAAATGAGTCACGACACGTATCCCAGAATGATTCATAAGTGTGAATATGTGACTAGCACAACTCAAAATGTGGTTCAATGATCTATTGCATGGCCCGTGTAAAGGTCCATGATCTTGCATGTCCTTAAATATGGTTCCATAATCTTGCATGGCCAGTGTAAAGGTAAAGCGTTCATGATCTTTCACGACTCAAGTAAGGTAAAAAGGTCCATGATCTTGCATGGCCTATGGTAAGAATCCGTGATCTTGCATGTCTTTGAAATGAATTATATGTCTGTTGGGGAACATATGGTTCATAATGTTGAGTATGTGATTACCACATCTCAATATGAAAAGCTCATGACTCGCGTGGCTCGAATGAGAAGGTTCATGATCTTGCATGGCCTTAAATATGGGTCCATGATCCTGCGTGGCCCAGGTAAAGGTAAAGAGTTCGCGATCTTGCATGACTCATGCATGTAAAAGTAAGTTCGTTATCTTGCACGATTTAGGTAAAGGTAAAAGGGTAGAAAATAAAAGGGTTCATGATCTGCATGCCTTAGGTAAAAGTAAAAGGGTTCATGATCTTGCATGACCCAAGTAAAATGCCAACTGATGTTTAAATAAAGATAAGACAATGTTCATGCCAAGGTTTTTAAAATCGGATCGGTCATTGAACCGTTTTCAGGTCTGGTTCTCGGTTTAATTGATTCAACCGATTGAATCGGTGAACCGACTGATCCAAACAGCAAGGAAGATTTGATGAGAGGAGCAAGCTGCAGGCATGGATTTTCTAATTTGGTGTTGATAATTTTGTAATTTTGTTAAAATTAAAGGTTAAAATGGGTATAAGAAAGGAATGGGAAGGGTGAAATTGAAAAAAATTGAAAGAAGATTGCATGAGAAATTGAACCGGTGGTTTTTTCGGTTTCACCAGTTTTATCAGTTTTTATCGGTTTTTATTGATTTTTGACCGATTTTGACCTCAAATGGTTTTCTTATGTAAACCAAACCGTTTTCATCAACGGGTATCGATCCGATCGGTTCAACCGGCCAGTCCGGTCTGATTTTAAAAACCTTGGTTCATGCATAAACTAAAGATAGGGTATAAGGAACTTCCCTGAATATGTCATGATGTTGAATTGTCTATGATTTGGCAAGAGTCAAGTACCCTTTGTGGTATTCATTGATCAATAGACTTGATGACTAGCCTAGCATTTGCTTCTGAGTTTATAGTCAAACTTGTGGCATCTAGTTCAGTGATTTGGGAACATCTCTAGTCCACTGGGGAAAATTCTGAAATTATAGACTCTTTTTATTTGAACTTATTTTTGACAATTAGAATTACTTCAAGATGGAATAAACACCATGATTATTGAATCAAGCTTTTGCTTTTCCCTACAACTTTCATCTTACTTCTAGATTTGTCAAGAGATCTAAGTTAAATAATAAATTATATTAATTGAAATAAAGTATCATAACCAATTGGCATTTCCAATCCAATCTAAACATGAAAGAGAAGGCTGAAATGTGGATAATATATGGACTGAATTTTCATGGATGATGTAATATTTAGACAAATATGAGTTTTTGAAGTGCATAACTTTTGATGCAGCAATTTTGACAAAATAGAAAGATATTTATGCTATAAAATATTTGCTTTAAGAAATTTTCATTTTTGTAACTCCACCAATCCAATCTTTAGCATATGAGACAACGTCCTCTTCCATGCCAAAGTGGATGTGTCACGCCCCAAAACCAGGAGCGAAACAAATGCCATACATTTGTGAGAGGATCCCATAAATGCACAAGGCTTAGAATCTGCTTAATTCATAATCAGTAATTCACAAAAACTTAGATCCAAAATCTCAAGTAAAATTTTAACTTTCAATAACCAAAGTTTAACTAGGCCAAAAGTGCACAAAGATTTTACAACTCCATCAATATAGTCATGACTATCTCCAAGGGAAATCTAGTTTGGCAGGCTTATCTCCAAAATGAATTAAATCCAAAATATAAGTGGATAGCCTTTTAGCTCATCACTCCCCTTGGTTTCTTATGTTTTTGGTCTCACTATCTAAAATGGTGAACAAGGAAAAACTATGTGAGATAACTCAATAAATAAAAAAATATAGGTAGCCTTTATTTAAAGTTAAAGCATGCCAGATAAACAATTTATAACATAAACCGGAGGAAATCTTAGTTATAAACCATTAATGCAAAGTAAAACTCAATAGTGGTCTCCTCAATTTGTCATGGCCAATGTTTAACAAACTTCCACTGACAGGTGTCAGTAATAACCAATGTACTATCCCGTTGGTAGGAATAACAAGAATATAGAATGAACCAGTCCTACAAATATACATGTCGACATGCGCTAGCATTTACAACTCCCATTGGTAAGCATCAGTAATATTGACCATATTGGAGACAAAACCATCCAGGAGTTCAACAGGAAAATCCATAATTTACAAATATGCAAGAGTTAATAGGAAAGTCAGATCTTACGAACTAATTTTCAGATTTCCAGAACAAACAAGTAAACTCCACGTAGGCATGCTCAACCCAATAAAAGAAATAGTAACAACTTCATTTCAAACCGTTCATGCTCATGCGCTAATAAAAATCAATTTAGATCTCGCCACCATCTCAAAAATAGTTTAAAGTATGCTTTTAAAACTTTTACCTTAAAAAATCCAAGGGCATTTACTATAATTTTACTTACCTCATCTTGTAGGTAGACAATTAGCAAAGAATTCAAGGACTCAAGGCGCTTGAGGTGATTTAGAACCCATACCTGTCATAACTCAAATTTTAGTAGAATTTTATTTTTATTTTTATTTTAATTAATATGTTTTGTCTTTGATTTCCTTGTTAGGTTCATGAGCAAAAAAGGGGGATTTTTGCGAAGAAAATTGGAAAAGGGAGATGAAAGAAATTAAGACAAGGGACTCAATTGAAGAAATCAAAAGTTAGAGGGGTGGAGTTAATCAAAACAAATTTACAAGTCCAGCCCAAAACCCATCAAACCAAAACCAAAACCCAAACTCAAACCCAATTAGTCAAAAAGCCGAAAAAACCCAAAATCTATAAATACCCAAAACCAAAACCCACAATTACCTAAACCCACAATTACCTAAACCCAAAAAACCCATAACGTAACCCATTTAGCCCAAACCCAAAAACCTAAACTTCAAACTCAAAACCCTAACCACAATTAAAAAAAAAAAAGGACAGCTTTCTCTTGCTCTGCGTCCTTATTTTTTTTGGCCCCCGCGCCCGACCATGCCCATATGCCCTTGCTCCTACGCCCCTTGCTCTACGCCCCCTGCCAGCCTGCACCACCCTGCTCCCCAAGCCTTGCGCTTGTGCCTTTGCCCCCACCTGAGCTCGCCAGCCATCACCAGCCTTGCTCTGCACCAACCCTGCTCTCCGTGCCTAGATCACCTACACGCTTAAGCCCACTTCCAGCAATCATACCTCCCCTACTTGCTGCACCGAGCCTGCACGCCCTACCCCCTGCGCGCCTGCACCTTCCTCTGCCCGAGCCCAGATCTGCACTCATCACCCCGCCTCCCCCCCGAACCAATCGCCAGTCAATCCTGCACTCATTACCCCGCCTGTACCTCAATCGTGCAACCCCTCTGCGCCCCTGCTTGTTGTCCCGCGCCTCTGCCTCCTGCACGCTACAGCCATACAGAAAAAACAACAATACTAGACGAAATTGGCATCATTGGTGATTGACAGAGCAAGGCCTATTTTTTTTCATTTTTATTTTTATTTTATCAGTTGGGTGTATATATAGAGCAAAAGGCAGAGGTCTGAGGGGGGATTTTCTGGTTGATTTTTGGGTTCTTTTTTTGGGACCTGAAAGGGGTTCTCTTGGTTTTGAGTGTGGTATTGAGGACGGCCTAAAAGAGTATTTTTCTGTTGAAAGAAGATTGGTGTCTTGAGAAAGGAGATTTACGGGCTGCAAGAGGTATAGTTCTGAACAGAGGATTTTTATTGGGTAAATGGTGAAGGAGATGGTGGAAGCTTGATCCCGTGGGTGGGATCCCTTCCATCAGATCCAGATCCATTTTTCTTTCAAAAATTCGCCGTGTTTGTTTTCCTGTGGGTGTTTATTTTTTTTATCTGATGTTAAGATTGAATGTGTTTTCTTGAAAAAAGAATGAAAAGCCAAAAGAAATTGTCCAGTTCGTCTTTATCTGATGAATGTATTTTTATTTTATTTTTCTGTTGGTTGTTTTTTCTTTGGGATTAGATGTATATTATGGAGGAACTTTGTTTGGAATCAGATGAAATCTAGGTTTCTGGTTTTGTTTGCATGTTTTAATCCTTTTTTGCCTATTTTCTCACTCGGATTATGTTTGTGGGTCGGGTTGACCCAACCCAATCCAATAGATTAATTATATAAAAAAAATAAAAAGGTTAAAAAA